TTTCAAAAGTGAAGATAAGACAGGAAGAAGGCTTCACTGGCTGTCTTTCACTTGGCCCCCTTCACTCACCCCGACACACACAGGGATTTGCATTTGCTGCAGCCAAAGTGGAGGGCGTGGGGCAGCCCCAGGTTTCCAGCCTCCAGTGCCACACTGGTGGACCAGTGGGTGAGGGATCAGAGTTAGGTTCACCCTGGCCGGGTAGCTCAGTCGGTTAGAGTGTTTTCCCTACACCAAGGTTGGGGGTTTGATCCCCAGTCAGGGCACGTACAAGAATCGGCCAATGCACAAACAAGTAGAACAACAAATCGGTGTTTCTCTCTGCCCCCTGCTCTTCCTCTCTCTCAAATCAATTACAAAAAAAAAAAAAAAAAGGGCAGGCTCATAAGTGGTCTCTACTGCAGGGTCAAGGGGAGGTGCCGCCCTCTCCCAAGCGGTCACCCCAGGCTGGGGCCCAGACCGTGAGAACCCACCACCGATTGGCCAGAGCAGACCTGAAGCCACACCCCTTGGGCTTCTACTCAAACCACCTACCTGAAGCAGCAGCAGGAGGTCCCCACGGTACCTGAGGGGTGTGATCAGTCTCCCCGAGCAGGAAGGCAGTGTGGGCTGCTGCCGCGTGAACAGGAAGTGGAGGGTGGCCCACGCCTGCACCAGGGCCACCGCGTCCTCCTGGGTGCGCTGGCGGGACAGCCGGTCACGGAAGCAGCAGGAAGCCGTGGCGGCCCCACAGCCTTGCTGGCTCACCAAGGCGCCTGGGCAGATCCCACCCACCCGTAAGTCTGGGGGAAAGACTGCTGGCCGGGGCGGGGCCCCTGTGAGGACAGGCGAAAGGCAGCGGGAGCCAGAGCAAAAAACGCTACGGGGACGGCAGGGCCAGAAAAGAAGGCAAGGGCAGGCCGTGTCCTCTCGTGCTTGGATTTGGCAAAAGCCTTTGGCTTACTCCTTGGTCACCACTTAACCCCAAATGAGCACAGGCCGAAGCGTAGGTCTGGTTAAAGGCACTAATAAATGTTCACCAACATGGAGTCAAAACACTTCATGACCTCACAGTCTGCAAAGCACTTTCCCAAACATTTCACTAAACCGTATGGGATGGGGCTATCTCTACCCCACAGGCACTGACAGAGCCCCAGAGACACTGTCGCCTGCAGAAGCTCAGACCGCCACAAAGTAACACACTTGCTATGATGCCACCAATAATCGTTCTCTCTACACTCAGTTCTGGTCGTGGCCCACCCTCCCCTCCCAAACCGCCCAGGGTCCCACTCCCTCCACAGGGCCCAGAGCCGACCCTGACCTGAACCCTAAGTTCCCTTCTGCTGACACTACCCTCTCCATCTCTGCACAGACCCCAAACTCCAGTCATCCTGGGCTTCATGGCCCACAAAACACCCACTTTTTACCCAGCTGTTATTTTTCACACCACTCTCCCCTCAGCCTTGCACATTGTGCGCTGTTTTCTGACATCACCTCCCTGACTCTCCAGCACCAGCTGGGTGTCCAACAACTCCATTCTCGTGCTGCCTGGGGGTGACATCCGGTCCCACAAGTTAAAAGGCTCAGTCCCATGAGACCGCCCCACTGTGGGTGCCAGCCAGGTAGGGCTCCCAGCTACCCACACTTCTACCTGGCCCACCGCAAATGCAGGGGTTTCTCCAACCCCCTCTCAGATTCACTAACTTGCTAGTAGGGCTCTCAGAACTCAGGAAAACACTTATGTTTGATGACTGTGCAAGGTTTGGGGAGGGGGCAGGTCTCCCAAGCCTTCTCCGGGTGCACCACCCACCCAGAAGCTCTCAAAGTCCCTGAATGAAGAGTTTGCAGAGTTCCACCTCAAGCCTCCCCTCGCCTCCTTCAGGGTCTGTGGACTGGGCCGAAATTTTCCTGATTGACCTTTCTGGTGACCGGCCCCACTCTGAGGCTATTTGGGGTCCCACTGTGTCACCCCATTAGGATGAACTCAGGTGGGATCAAGAGGGAATCATTATGAAGAACAAAAGACACTCCTATCAGGAAATTCCAAGAATTTCAGGGGAACGGGGGACAAAAAATTTCTTCGACCACATGTAACTTTCCTTCCATGACCCAGTTTTCAAAATCCTCCCCTTACTCAACCATCGACTCCTATAAAACTGCCGGTGAACCTGCCACTCAAAACAAACAAAGAACTTCCTTCAGTGCAGCTCTGATGCAGAGCCCCCAGGTGCAGGGCAGAGTCCTGGCCAGCCCCGTGCTCTCCATGAGGCAGGTCGAAGGGCAGCGCGGGCAGCTGGCCTACGGTGGCAGGACAAGGTCTGGGGGTTGTGATGCCAGCTCAGCCTTGGGTGCCCCCTCCTCCGGGCCAGGGAAACAGTAAACGTCCCCGACGACATGGATTCTTGCCCCTGGATTGGCCCCTCCATGGGGCGGGGGCCCCTCCATGGGGCGGGGGGCCCCTCCATGGGGTGGGGTCAACGGGCACTCAGCACCACTCCGGGCTCCTGCTATCCAACAGCTGGGAGTGTTAAGAAGATGCTGGAAAAGGCTGGCAAGTTCTCAGAGCTCCTCTGTGGACAGAAATCCCACGTGGAGGTAGAGTGGTGGTCACACCAGGCTCCGGTCCAGTTCCAAACCCGAACGTCAGCCCTCAGAAACAGGGCGTCCCCAGAACAGTGTGTGAGCACCGGCTGAGATCATCCCTGGCTCGCATCCCGCACCCTGTGCTGCCTGAATGCCCAGCAGCACCCAGCAGCTTCTGGGTGTGTAGGTGGTACTTCTTGCAGGTGGAACAGAAACAGGGCTGCAGCTGTTACCCCGGCTCTCCAGGCGAGGCCAGGCTGCCCAGGAGAAAACGACACAGTGCCAGGCCAGGGGCAGGAGGGAGCACCAAGGCCAGATGTCTAAGATCGGGTTCCACTCCAAACAAGTGGTGGGTGGAGAGAACGACAGGAGAGGACATTAGTAACCACATATGGCTGTGTATTTCATATAGGGCTCTGTACAAAATATTTACACATATTCTTTACAGAACAGTAAACCACCTGAAGGTAAAAAGATTGTTTTCTTCTCACTGACGGGGCGAATTCTGATGTCAGCAAAGCTATAAAATGGATGAACTTGCTCCTCCTTAGGTCATAACAGAAGCAAATGCCACCTGCTTCCTGGGCTCCGAAGAGCTGTGGCCTTGGGACCCGGACCTCGTGCACCTCCTTCCCCGTCCCCCACTAACCCCTCTGGCGTTCACGCACAGGCCTGGTGCCACGGCATGGGGTGCTAATGCAGCTGTCCATGTGGCTGAGGGAGAAGCCTGGGGACACCTGTCACGTCATCAGCTCTGGATCCTGAATTACCTTCGTCATGACGTATCTCCCACTTCCCAGATGAGCCCACCCACATCGCGTCCATCCCAGGTGGGGCCCCTGCTGCAGACCCTTCACTAAGAGCTTGTCTTGTAAAGTGCTGAGTGTGACTTAGCGCAGACGCCTCTCCTACCCCCCTGGCCTCCCCTGCTGCCTGGCACGCTGCACGCCCCCCACTCTGCACACGGAGGGCATGCGGGAAGGACGTGGGGGTCTGGGTGTGGTGGGCGGAGTGCTTCTGGCATGTCCACGGTGAAACGCTCGTCAAGACAGAGCAGTGCCAGAGAGAGACCAGGACAATGGAAGTGCATGGCTGCTTCATACTATACAACCCCGATTATTTAAAGACGCAAAAGGCACTTTTTTTTCCCAAGCCAGAATTAATGTAGAACAAACCTGGCTTCATGTACAGGAAAAGCAGTCCCAGAAGGACCGACCGAACCACCTCGTTCCCTAGGGCGGGGGGTCCCCAGGCGGCTCGGTGTAGGGGCCTGGCTGTGTGGCAGGCCCCTCCCACACTCTTCTGGCTGTGGTCTGTCCCTTCCCGGGTGCTGAACACTTCCACAGACATTTCCAACCAGGAAGGAGAGACTGGCAGTTAAGACAAACCCAAAGATCGCAGCCAAGGGAGCGAGTGGGTGCCTATTTGGGAACAGACCGGCGATCAGAAGCCACGGCAAAGGCAGCCACGACGTGGGCGGGGTGTGCAGCTGCTTACAAACGGCAGCTCTGGCTAAAGTGAAACGTCAAACAATGGAGTAAAAACGAAACTGCAGGGTCTTTGAAGCTCATCCTTCTGATGAGAACTAAATTTTTCCATGAACTATTATTTTTAAAGCAAGGGTGCTTTACATGATGGGTGTTACATAATTCTAAAAATAGCTATCAGAGGGTCTTTTATCTGCCCCCGGCTGGTGTGGCTCAGTGGACTGAGCGCCAGACTGCAAACCAAAGGGCCTCGGGTTCCATTCCCAGTCAGGGCACATGCCTGGGTTGTGGACCAAATGCCCTGGAGGGGGTGTTCGAGAGGCTACCACACACTGATGGTTCCCTCCCTCTCTTTCTTCTTCCCTTCCCCTCTCTCTAAAATACACAAATAAAATATTTTTTTAAAAATGTCTTGTATAGGCAACTTCATGAGACTTGTGGAAGAGAACAAATTAAAAAAAAGACCAGTCTCCATCTGGGCCCTCATATCAACGTTCCTTCCCATCTGACTGGAAGTACCTGTGGTTTCTAGGCTGAAAGGTGGTAGGCCTCGCCCGGTAACCTAGTCCCCAGCGGTCCCTTTGAGCCCGTTCCTGGGCTGACCTGCTCCGCCCCTCGCCTGCGTGCCCTCCCGCTCCCTCCAGCCAGCGCAGAGGAACAGGAGGAGCTTTGGGGCGGGCATTCAGCGTCCATCTCACTACTAGGCAGCCAGAAGGGTCCCCGGTGAGCAAGCCTAGTAGGTTCCAAAGGCAGTTGGGAGCTTAAAAAAAACAAACCACCTCCTCCCACACAAGAGGTGGCAGCAGAGAGCCCACTCAGAAGCCCACTGTGAGGGGAAGAGCTCTATGCCCAGGCGAGTGAGTGCCCAGTGTCAGACAGGCTCCGTTACTGGCCTCGGAGGCGAAGGCAGACCACGGGCAGGCCGGGAAGGGTGGTAGGAATAGAAAACCCTTGACAGAAACCCTTTTAATAAAGGACATTCCATCCCTCCCTATCCTTCCATGGAAGGGCAAGACCTTAGAGAAATGCCAGAAGAAGCCTCCTCCCTGGCATTTAGGGGAACAGCTGCAGCTGAAACTTAGGGGCCCACTCCAGGGCACTCTTCACCACGGCCAGAGCGGCCGCGCCCAGTGCCACCGTCAGCCCCATCACCGCCAGTTTCACAAAGCGGTTGGTCCTCGGTTTGGTCAGGACGTCCTTCGTTCTCTCCTCGGTCGGCAGGAGCCCCCGGAAGCGCTGCCGCAGCACCATGTCAGGCCTCTGCTGGGCTGATGCCAGCTCAAAGTCTTTGAAGGTAGAGGCTGCCGTTCTGCAGAGGAGGAGACAAAAAGCAGGAAATAATATGAAAGAAACAGAGAAGGAAAGAAAAACTATATCAAATAGGCTGAAGGCAGGGCTGTCCACCGCTCAGAAAGCTTCGTAAAGGCCCATCGGCCTCCAGCAGGGATTCTGCTGGCACGGCACAGCCCTCTGGACACACCCCCTCCCATCGCTCCTGCTCACTAACACCCCCCACTCAACCGGCGGCTGGGCCTCACTCACTTCTCCGCTTGCTGCTGGGCGGCTGCCTCCCGCGCGAGTTCGGACGGGGGAAACTGAACGAAGAGGTCCCCAGCTCTGCTGATCAGCGTCTCGTAGGGCAGGTCCTGAGGGATCTGGGACAACAGGTGGTGGACCGAGGCCATGTCACAGTCACAATCCAGGACTTCCTGCTCTCGATACAACACGATCTGTGGAGAGCGGGGCCTTGCATCAGGGACCAGAACACACGAGGCCGTGGCCACACGCATTTCATTCTCCTGTGACATGAACCTAAGCTGGTAACAGACAGGGGTCGCCCCAAATATTTGGCACAGTCTCGTATCCACTTAGGAAGTAACGGTGTACAAATCCGAGTACTTTTCCTACTGGGCTGACCCTTGCCACTCAAGGCGAACTTCGACCCAATGATATGAAAGACTGACTAATTAAATGAAGGAAATTCTTTCAGGAGGGAGAAGAGGAGAGAGATTACTGGAAAATCCCTACAGCTCCAGCACAGAAAGAAATGGTTCAAAACAGCAGAAAGAATGGTCTTGCTCTCTTCGAAGAGCAATGGAGAACACCTGTGAGTTTCCACCTTCACCCCCCCCGCCCCCACTCTCCCCCCCCATGACTGGGGCTCTCTAATCACTGGAGCCCCTCACACCCCCAGGCCGTCTCAGTTTTCTGTCATCACACACACTGGAGCTGGCAGTTTGTACTTGCTCCAGGCGATGTGGGACACATAATTCACAATGTGGGTGAGCATTTCAAAGGTTTGGAGGAATCAAGCAATAAACAGATCTATTTATCTTGTTTAACCAGCACTCCCCAAACTCGTTTTCCCACAGAACACATCTCTCTGTGATGCTCTCCATAGCCGCTGCACAGGAGCCTGGGAAACGCTGTCCTCTGCATCCTCCCGTGTAATCACCAGGTTTCCATGGAGGGAAAGCGGTGGAGCTGCTGGCGCCTGGCCTGTACCTACCACGGCTGCGAAGTAGATGGGCATCAGGGGGTGGCAGGCCAGGAAGAAGTCGTACAACCGCACCACGTGCCGGAAGTCGGACAGCACGTGCCCAAACCAGGTGATGAGCCAGCTGAGGGCAAAGATGGTCCCCACCTCGGCACTAGGAACAGGAAAACCCAGGTGTTAGGCTCCCTGCTGAGCCATCCCTTCCCTTTGTCTGGGCCTTCTTTGTCCTCAGTGCTAAGAGAAGAAAATAGTTGGGAAATATGCTTTCTGGAAAATTCAGCCACCTAGGAATTCAGCGCTTTTTCCTCACAAAATACAAAGTCCTTAAAATGGATCTACCGTCCTGCCATTAACACTACAATAGGATCCCAGTTCCCTCATCTCACTGGGCGATCTCCTAACAGATGCCTATGCAGGAAAATAGAGGATCCACTTACGGAACATGGTATCACGGTTTTCCTTCTGAGAAGGTCTCACCCTTTCAGGGTAAGACACATATTCTCAGGCTTGAAAACACATGTTAACATGAGATGAGAAGCATCTTAAGACACAGTTATTTTTTAAAACAGATTTTATTTATTTACTTTTTAGAAGGAAGTAAAGGGAAGGACAAAGAGAGGGAGAGAAATATTGATGTGGGAGAGAAACATCAATCAGTTGCCTCTCACACTCCCCCAACTGGGAACCTGGCCCGCAACCCAGGCGTGTGCCCTGACTAGGAATTGAACCGGAGACCTGTCGGTTTGCAGGCCGGCACTAAGTCCACTGAGCCACACTAGCCAGGGCAGACATAGCTGTTATAAAAAAAATAAAAAAGGGCCTTGGCTGGTGTAGCTCAGTGGACTGAGCACAGGCCTGCAAACCAGAGGATCGAGGTTCGATTCCCAGTCAGGGCATATTCCTGGGTTGCAGACTGGTTCCCTGCAGGCCAGTTCCCAGCAGGGGATGCACGAAAGGCAACCATACATTGATGTTTCTCTCCCTCTCTCCTTCCCCTCTAAAGATAAATAAAATCTTAATTAAAAGGTTTACTTATTAATTTAAAAAATAATAAAATAAAAAAGGCAGACATTGGCCAAAGTCACATTTCTAACTCAAATAAGAAGGAAAAAAAATCATGTGAGATTTGCAGACATTATTTCTCCTCCTTGGCACCTGGTAAACAATACCACCCACACAGGGCCCCGCCTTTCCTGTCTCTGGCTCCTGCAGGACTGGACTTCTCCTGTGGCAACAACCTTCCGTCCACATTGGCACACTTACCTCGTCCCTCTCTCCCCACCAGATGTAACCTCCTCAAGGGCATGGCTGTCACATGCCTTGTGGCCCCCAAAGAGCACAGCACTCAGAGTGCTCCGAGACCCTGTACAGAACTGAGTTCTCCAGAGAACTGGTGACTGGACAGGGCGACTCAGAAGACCCAACGGTGACCCAAGTAAGACGGCGACGGGCTAGACACGTGAGGAAGGAACAAAGGTGACGGAAGGCTGAGGGCGTGTGTGCACGCGGACACACACGTACCTCTGCATGAAGTCGTGGAGTTCTGGGTTCACCCGGTCAATGATGGGCATCAGATAGTTTAGTATGTGTTTGGTGTTGTCCATTGTCCGGTCCATGAAGTCCCTAGAGGGAGACAGTTCAGTCACCTGGTCAGCCCCAACGCTGAGATTGGGGTGGGGGTGGGTGGGGCTCAAACCACTGAAAACACCAACTAGGAAATGGGCTGAGGAGTTGCCCCCAGGGGCACCTGGGGAGGGATGCCTGCCTCTTCTGTCCCTTTGCGCTGGTACCTGAGGTGGTGAGTAGATAGTTTTTCTACCAGTGACGTTGCCAGCCTCTCTCCTACAACCAGCAGAAACGTGACCACGATGTCATGGTAGCCCTGGTAGTAATGCAGCTGAGGGTTGCGCTCCAGGACGAGGAGGATGATGTCGATCAGTTCTTCCTGGAGCCCTTCTCTCTGCTCTTCGGGCATGCCTGGGGGGGGGGGATGCGCGTGAACAGGGCAAGCGGCCGAGTGACGGAGAGGTCAGGAAAACAGCAATAGGTTTCCAGAGACAGGCTTTTTTAAATTAATTAATTAATTAATTAATTTTTAGAGAGGGGGAAGGGAGGGAGAAAGAGAAGGAGAGAAGCCCTGATCAGCTGTCTCTCGTACACGCCCCAACTGGGAACCAAAACCACAACCCAGGCCTGTGCACTGAGCAGGATTCGATCCGGTGATCTTTTGCTTTGTGGGATGACGTCCAACCAACTGAGTCACACTGGTCAGGGCTCAGAGAAAGTATTTAATAAAAGAAAGTTTGCAACTTAGTAACACACATCAAGATCCACACACACAAAGGAATTATGTGGCATATAGAAGAGAGCCACCGGCTAGCGACTGTACAGCAAGAGAACCCGGACAACACCTCGGCCAAGCTGCCACAGCAGTGGGGCCACGGGCAGCAGCGGGGCCACGGGCAGCAGCGAGCCACGGGCAGCAGCGAGCCACGGGCAGCAGCGGGGCCACGGGCAGCAGCGGGGCCACGGGCAGCAGCGAGCCACGGGCAGCAGCGAGCCACGGGCAGCAGCGGGGCCACGGGCAGCAGCGGGGCCACGGGCAGCAGCGGGGCCACGGGCAGCAGCGAGCCACGGGCAGCAGCGGGGCCACGGGCAGCAGCGAGCCACGGGCAGCAGCGGGGCCACGGGCAGCAGCGAGCCACGGGCAGCAGCGGGGCCACGGGCAGCAGCGGGGCCACGGGCAGCAGCGGGGCCACGGGCAGCAGCGAGCCACGGGCAGCAGCGGGGCCACGGGCAGCAGCGGGGCCACGGGCAGCAGCGAGCCACGGGCAGCAGCGGGGCCACGGGCAGCAGCGGGGCCACGGGCAGCAGCGGGGCCACGGGCAGCAGCGAGCCACGGGCAGCAGCGGGGCCACGGGCAGCGAGCCACGGGCAGCAGCGCCACGGGCAGCAGCGGGGCCACGGGCAGCAGCGAGCCACGGGCAGCAGCGGGGCCACGGGCAGCAGCGCCACGGGCAGCAGCGGGGCCACGGGCAGCAGCGAGCCACGGGCAGCAGCGGGGCCACGGGCAGCAGCGAGCCACGGGCAGCAGCGGGGCCACGGGCAGCAGCGGGGCCACGGGCAGCAGTGAGCCACGGGCAGCAGTGGGGCCACGAACGGCAGCGGGGCCACGGGCAGCAGTGAGCCACGGGCAGCAGCGGGGCCACGTGCAGCATGCGTCTCCTGATGAGACGCACTGAAAAGAACTCAGCATCACGCCTGTGGTGCTCCCATTAAGAATGTACAAACCTAAGTCTAATACTGAGAAAATACCCAACAAATTCTCATTGAGGGAAATTGTAAAAAGTAACTGACCTGTCATGAAATACAAAGGAACTATTCCAGGTTAAAGAAGGCTGGGGATGTGATGCCTGAATGGGAACTGCATGAATGTGTATTTCCTCTTCCTATGAAGGACATTACTGGGGTGGATGGCGGAATCTGAGTTAAGTCTGCAGAGTAGATAGCAGTATGCTTTAACGTTGTTACTGATTTTCATAAGTGCACTGTGATTATATAAGAGCCTTAGGGTTTTTTTTTTGGAAATATACTCTGAAATATTTAGGAACAAAGGGGCACAGTCTGTAATTTATTCTCAAATAACTCAGAAAAAATGTATGTGTGTGTATATGGAGGAGACAAAGCAAATATAGTAAGATATTGACCTATAAGAAAATCTGGGTAAAAGGTACGTGGGGAATTCTTTGTCCTATTTTTGTAACTCTTCTGTAGGTATGAAATGATATAAAAATAAAAACAAACGAACTGCATGTTCCCCTCTAAACCGAACTAAACGTCACAGGAGACGTGATCCCCTCGGGGCGGAGACGTGGTTGGAGACGAGGAGCCTGTCCTGGGGGCTCGTTCTGGGCAGTGGGCTGGCGCGGGCGGCGTGGCCCCTCACACTGCCTGCTCTTCGTGTGGAGGCGCCAGATCCTGGCCGTTGAACCTCGTTAGAAGGGCGCACGGCACAGCTTCCCTGCACCATTAGCTTTTTCAATTAAAACACGTCCTGTGAGAGAAGCGGCTAATGTAAGGACCCAGATTAAACTGAACAACAGGTTTAAAGTGAGAGCAAAGTTCATCTCTTGCCTGTATTTACCCTCCTGCTTCTCAAAAGGGCACACTCTAAAAGATGAAATTAAAAAAGAAAACGAAGTGAGTCCAGTAGAGGACAGGTAAGGTCAAAAAGCAGTAACAGAAAACATTAAACCCTGCTTGGACTTCAGTGTAAGAGAGGGGTCAGCTAAGCTCAGAGGAACATGAACGCAAAGACAGTCTTAAACCACATGGAAAGTCTGGCCTACAGAAAGAATATCATAGCCCTGGCTGGTGTAGTAGTGGATTCGGGAGGGGCGAGGGGAGTGAAAGGAACATACTTGATGTTTCTCTCCCTCTCTCTTCCTTCCCTCTAAGAAAGAATCAAATGGATGTTATGTAAGTAAAAGAGGAATAAAGGATTCAGAGGGAAAACAAGGGGGGAAAAAGGAGGCATCTGTTCCATGGCAGCAGAACAGGGAGACCTTGCCTCACCCAACCTATGCCCCAGCCTGAACCTCTTTCGGAAGCTTTTTCTCACAAGCTGCTGGCCTCGGCCCATGCTGTCGACTTTCCTAAAACCTCTCAAAGGTCCACATACCCCACTTAAGCAGCTGCTAACCTCGGCATGCCCTGTACCTCTTGCTTAAGTGGCTTCCAGCACTAGTGGCAGCGGCCTCCAAGTCCAGCACAGGCAGCTAGCAACTGCCGATCACTGTGTAGCTCCTACCCGGTGACCCCGAGCTGGCCACAGGCAGTGGCTGACCCGGGGCTGCACCACAGCCCCTCCCTAGAGGCCCCAGAGCCAACAGATCCAGAGGCTGGTAGCCGGCTTCAGACCACAAATGAGCATCCCCCAGTTAGCTACACAAATGACACACCCAAAGGGTGGACTCAGCAGGCACCAGAGCCCCACTGAATTGAATCCTGCTCTGTGGGGGCAGCCCCCCACCACAGCTTGTCTACTACGGTCAAGGACGGTCCTCACAACCAACCAGCCATCCTGGGGCTCTGTCCCACCCACTGATGTGCCAACAGCAGTCAAGGCTCAACTACCACAAAGGGGCACACACAACCCTCACAAGGGACACCCCTGGAGTACCTGGCTCAGGTGACCAGGGAGTCCACACCTTGGGCCCCAAAGAACACCTACTACATAAGACCACTCTCCAAGACTGGGAGACGTAGCAGATCTTCCAAAACACACAAAACAAACATAGAGGGGCAGCCTAAATGAGGAAACAGCTCTGACCGGTATGGCTGAGCTGGTTGGGCACTGCTCCACAAAGTGAAAGGTTTGTTCAACTCCCAGTCAGAACACGGGCCTGGGTTGCAGGCTCAGTCCCCAGTCAAACCACTGAGAGGCAACCAATCAGTTTCTCTCACACATCAATGTATCTCTCCTTCTCTCCCTCACTCCCCCTCTCTCTAAGAATAAATGAATAAAATCTTAAAAAAAAAAAAAAAGACAGGATGAAAAAAACAGATGAAACAAAGAAATATCCTAAGTTAAAGAACAGGACAAAACTCCAGGAAAAAAAAAACTAAACAAAATAACAACAAACAACCTACCAGATACACAGTGTTTCCAGATTCCAAGACACTGGTTATAAGGATGCTCAATGAACTTAGGGAAAGAATAGATGAACTCAGTGAGAAATTCAAGAAAGAGATAAAAAAACATAAGAAAGAACCTGTCGGAAATGAACAGTATAACAACTGAAATGAAAACTACATTGGATGGAACCAACAGCAGATTAGATGAAGCAGGAAATCAAATCAGTGATTTGGAAAATAAGCAGAAAACACACAAGGAGAACAGCAAAAATTTAAAAACATTTTAAAAATTAATTAATTAATTTATTTTTAGAGAGAGGGGAAAGGAAGAATAAAGAGAGGGAGAGAAACGTCAATGTGTGGTTGTCTCTCGTGCGCCCCCTACTGGGGACCTGGCCTGCAAACCAGGCATGTGACCTGACTGGGAATCGAACCACTGATTCTTTGATTTGCAGCCAGCCCGTCCTCAATCCACTGAGCTATATCAGCTAAGGCTAAAAAAATTTCTTTAATGGGGGTAGTTTAAGAGAACTCTGGGACAGCATAAAAAAATAACAATACTCATATTATAGGGGAACCAGAAAGACAAGAGAAAGAGCAAGGGATCAAGAACCTATTTAGAAGAAATAACGACAAAAAATTTCCCTGACCTGGTGAAGAAAATAAACATGCAAGTCCAGAAAGCACACAGAGTTCTGAACAAAATGAACCCAAACAGGCCTACGCCAAGACACATCATAATTAAAATGCCAAAGATTAAATACAAAGAGAGAATATGAGAAGTAGCAAGAAAAAAAAAAGCAGTTAGTTACCTACTGCTCTCTCATGAGACAGCTGATTTCTCAGCAAAACTTTGCGAGCCAGAAGAGACTGGCACAACACATTCAAAGTAATGAAAAGCAAGAAGCTACAACTAAGATTTCTCTACTCTACGAGGCTATCATTTAGAACTGAAGATATAAAGAGCTTCTCAGACAAGAAAAAGCTAAAGGAGTTCATCACCACCAAACTGGTATTACAAGAGATGTTAAAGGAACTTTGTTAAGAAGAGGAAGAAAAAAGACAAAAATATGAATAATAAAATGGCAATAACTACATACCTATCATTTATCAATAAATATACATGTGTCTTTCGGTGGATTAAATGTTCCAATCAAAAGACAGAGTGCGCTGGCCAGTGCGGCTCAGGTGGCTGAAGTTAAACCTAAAGGTCATGGGTTCAGTCCCAGGTCAGGGCACATGCCCAGGTCTGGGTTTGGTTCCCCGTCAGGACACGTAAGAGAGGCAACCGACCGATGTTCCTCTCTTACACTGATGCTTCTCTCCCTCCCCACTTTTTCTAAAACCAGTAAGCATGTCCTCAGATGAGGATTAAAAAAATGACACAGGGTGGCTGAATGGAGAAGAAAACAAGAACCAGCAAAACCCAGTTCAGATCAAAAGACAGAGACTGAAAGTAAAGGGACAGGAGAAAGTATTTCGTGCAAATGGAAAGGACAGAAAACTGGCCTAGCAATAGTTATATCAGACAAAATAGACTTTAAAACGAAGGCTGTAACGAGAGACAATGAAGGACGTTTCATACACAACAGCCAAGATGCAGAAGCAACCTAACTGCCCGTGAGTGGACGGCTGGGAAAGAATGTGCCAGACATGTATGCACGATGGAGTATTCCTTGGCCACAAAATGAATGACGTCCTCCCATTTGCAACAACACGATTATGCTGTAGAGGGTAATATACTTAGTAAAATAAGTCAAATAGAGAAAGACAAATACTATATGATTTCACTTATATGTGGAATCCAAAAAACAAAACAATTGAACAATCGAAACAGAAGCAAAGTCCTAGATATTCGAATGAGCTGATGGTTGCCGGACAGAAGAGTGTTAGGGGCTGAGTGAAAACGGCGAAGGGACTGGTGGGTACGACGTGGCCGTTACTACACAGTCAGAGGGACGTGAAGCGCAGCACAGGGAATGGGACAGCCAATACTACTGGAGTAACTACGGATGCTGCCGGGTGGGTACTCCACTTACTGGGGAAATCACTTCCTAAGTCATGTAAATGTCTAACCACTATGCTGTACACCCGAAACTAATACAATAGTGAATATCGACTATAATGGAAAAAGAATAATTTTCTAAAAAAATAACAGCAAAAAGTAAGTGTCACTATAGATGTCTTTTTCCGTTGTTAATGAAAACAACCCCAAGGCATTGCTTGTCGTCTGGTAACACCACAAGGGTAATCAACAGATACGAACGTTTAAGGACTCTACTCCCAACAAAGAACACCTAAAACACACACACTGTTGCTTCTCGACAATTTCTCACTTCACTAGTCATTTCCAGCGGGAGACACTTTGGAGCAGAGCACTACTACCTCCTTTCAGCATGTTCTGACCTGGCTGTTTTCTTGACTCTGTTTTCGAGTGCATCTCTTCTGCACCACCTAATGAGGTTCATGCACTCATCAGAACCAAGGACACAGCCCTCTACCCGCACACTCGCTTGCTCAGAAAGCCACGCCTGAATCCGAGATCTACTTTGCAAGGATCTGAAGATGAGGTTGATGGGCTGCACCATCACCTCCTGCACTTTTGGGCCCTGGCCACGGTACGCCCTGGTGGAAGCTGACGAAGTCCACAGTGAGCCACGTGCTACCTCAAAAAGCTACTTCTGGAATCTGGAGATCCCTTTTTAAAAAGTTTATCTTCAACACAGAGGTCTAAGTTAAAGTTATTTAAAAAACAAATAAAAATCAAATCAGCAGGATAGGAAAAGGGGATTGGACCATGGGTGTATGTTTTCATTAAAACCAAGTTGGATATATACAAATACTGAACCACTATGTCGTACACGTGCAACTAATATAATGTTGCATGTCTAACCTCAATAAAAATAAGTAAATAAAAATAATTAAAATTAAAAACCAAGATGGCAGGCCACTGGCTATACGGAAACCACTAACCCTCTCCAGGGGGCAAAGATATAAGCAGGAATAAAGGCTCTTTAAAAGACAAAATCCACCCTGGCTGGTGTGGCTCAGTGGACTGAATGCCAGCCTGCAAACCAAAGGGTCGCTGGCTTGATTCCCCGTCAGGGCACAGGCCTGGGTTGCAGGCCAGGTCCCCAGTGGGGGGTGCGCCAGAGGCAACCACACATTAATGTTTCTCTCCCTTTCTCCTTCCCTTCCCCTCTGTCTAAAAGTAAATTAAAAAAATGTTTTTAAACCCAAGCCAAATCATGGGTTTGGAAGAGTGAAGCAATGTTTTACAGCAGCAATTTTCAACCTTTTCCATCTCATGGCACACATAAAGTCATTACTAAACTTCTGTGGCACACCAAAAAATATTTTAGATTTTTTGATCTGACAAAAAGTAGACTCTTTTTGTAAACAAAAGTCTACAAAAAGAGTAGACTTTTGACTCATTCACACCAGATGGCTACTGTTGTGTTGGCTGTTGTCGTTTTTTCAATTTGACAATCTAAAGGAAAAGAGGTCAGTGCCCCTGACTAAACAGTCAGGTATTGCGTGTTTAAAGTTTTTTATCCCCCATGGACGTGGGCTTTATTTGGGGACTGCTGGGGAAAGAGAGGGAGGAGCTAGGACTGGTGGATATATGGAGGGAATGGCTTCTCAACTTGCCGTTTAATTTTTAATTAATTAATTTTTAGAGAGAAGGAACGAGAAGGAGAGAGAACCATCAATGTGTGGTCACCTCTCACACGCCCCCTACTGGAAACCTGGCCCACAACCCAGGTGTGTGCCCTGACTGGGAATCGAACCCGGGACCCTTTGGTTTGCAGGCTGGCACACAATCCACTGAGCCACACCAGCCAGGGCTTAGCATGCCTTTTAATTTAGTGCATGTTGCCTAGAGGTGAGGATGAGTGAGAACAGCTGTAAAAGTGAGGGAAGGGGAAAAGAGAGGGTCATGGAATGGACACCTTCCTTAGGGAAGGACACCAGGACCAGGATATGGGGACTTGGTGGCGGGGGAAGGAAGGCACCCTCCCTACACTGAGACTCAACCCAGATCATTGTTGATACGAGCTCCCCCACCCCCTTTCCCCCATCCCAGCTCCTGGCCCAGATGCCTGCCCTGCCCACTCCCTCAACTTCCTGTGGGGAGGAGGAGAATGTAGACGTGGAGAATGGCGGCACCCTCCTCCTCCAGGCCCCCTGCCTAGGAGAACTGCTCACTCAACCTGCCCTGAAGTCCCAGCCAGAGCCAGGAGGTCAGGAAGCCAGGGTGCAGGCAGGAAAACAGCTGTGCCCTTCAACACCCCTCCTGACACTCTGCCCCTCCCTGGCTCCTCACATAAGCCTGCAACTCTTGGCTCAATCCTTGTGTATCTCGCCTTCGTTCTGTCCCTCTGGTCTGGCTGTCCTGCCAGCTGAGTGGACCACTGTAGTCCGCAATGTGAGTCAGTACAGTGTAGCTACCTATGGCCATGAACCCCAGAGGCCACTGTGGCCACATGGAAGACACCCGACACTGCGCTCAGAGGGCCGGGAAGAGCACTCCACACAGGACGCGACCCCCACCTGCCTGGCCAGCAGTGCCCTGCTCAAGGGTAACAGGGAAGAGCCGCTGCCTGAACAGCTCCCTCGGTGTGGCTGGGTCGGCCTGCATGTCCAGTTTACAGCCAAGCAGCATGACCTTGGCACTGGGGCAAAACTCCTGAGTCTCTCCTTGCCACTTCTAGAGGACACTGTCCAGTGTTTCCGGTCAGTTAATGTCAAAGCCGATGAGCACAGTGACTGAGTCAGGATAGGCCAGACCCAGCATTGTCAAGGTTAAGAGGATTCCGAGGTGTCATGCTCAGCGTGGGGCTTGTCTACCTCACAGCTCACGGTGGGGACGTAACTCCAGCTGCAGGCATCCTTGGCGAACACCACCACTGCAGCCTGCGGCGGCTGCTCTGCCACCCAGGGTTCCTGCTACGTGCAGTCCCTGACTTCCCCGCACAGCCCCCTCCAGGCCTCGCTGGCTGCCCACACTGGCATCTCAGGGACCACACTGAGACGCTCTGCTCCCTCTGCCCCTCCCCCAGCCCCTTAAAAATTCTTGTAGCAAACCAGGTAAAAATCACATTCCTGGTTTAGAGGGTCTTGTTCCCTTTAGCAATTCTCTCTTTATGTACCTAAAGGCAGAGTTGCCAACGGAAGAGAAATAGGTCATAAACATGAGGTTTCTTGCCCAATTTCCTTCACCGTGAAAATGGAGACACCGGTCATTCTCCTCATTCTTCCTGGAATGGGGAGGCAGTTTTAGTAAGAGATTCCAAACATGAGGGAATGGCCTCCCTTCCAGTCCAAGGAATTCAACATATGTATATGCAAGATATTACTATTCATAAACTTAATCAGAGAAGGCATAGTTCTTGTTAGTATCTGCTTCCTAACCAGTCTGCTCCTTAAAGCCAGATGCATGGCTCTAGTGGTTCCTATTCCCTTCCGCAGCCCTGAAAGCGAGGGGACAAACCTCTGCTTCCGTTCACCATCTCGAGGCCAAGAGAAATCGCTTTGGGCTCAGGCTCCCGGGGCGGTGGGGGGGCGCCTGGGTGTGACAGAGTGACTGAACGCATGACTGGGCGGAGCGGGAGCACATGTCGGTCCCGCTGTGCGCCGGGATGGAAACTCCCGGGACTGGCGCGGGCACGAGAAGGGAAGTGCGACTGGGACGCAGAGCTTCTCACCAGGAGGAAAGCGCCGTAACGACCGCCGGACGTCCAGAAGCACCTGCTGGTAGTCCTTGCTCATCTGTCGTAGGTTTTTCCCTATTGGAGGAAAAGGAACACGTCACCGTAGGAATGTCGGGGAAGCCAGATCAGGAGTAGAACATTCTGGTTCTAGTCCAAAGCCAAGGAGGATATACTCCTGCATTTTCCTAAAGAAAATATGACTGGAAATACAACATTTGGAGAGGAATCCCGAATTTAGTTCCAAACATGTTTTGGTGCAAGTCCTGCCGACCAGAGGAGGAGGGTTCACTACGTCCAGGAGGGTCACAGAGTCAGGCAGACGCGGCAGCAGAGAAGTCAGGAGTCAGGGGCCTCCTGTAGCATCACAGGGTAACTGCTCTGAATTTCAAAGTCCACATCTGTGAAGTGGCAGTATTTCCATCCTGGCCAGTGTGGCTCAGCTGGTTGGAGTGTCATCCTGTAGACCAAAGGGTCGTGGGTTCGATTCCCAGTCAGGGCACAAGCCTGGGTTGTGGGTGAGATCACTGATCGCCGATGGTGGGCGGGGCGGGGGGGGGGGGGCGTGTGAAAGGTAACTGATCGATGTTTCTCTCCCTTTCTCTCTGACTCCCTTCCCCTCTCTCTAAAATTAAGGAGTATGTCCTTGGGTGAGGATTGAAAAAAAATGGCATTACTCCCCTTCCATAATATACCACCCAGGTTACTGTAAGGATCAAAGAGGCAGGGGCCTCCTGCGGCATCACTGGGTAACTGCTCTGAATACCAAGCCCACATCTGTAAAACCGCAATATTCCCGCCCACCGGAGACCTCTCAGGTCTCTGTAAGGATCAACTAAGATCACGAATGTGGAAACGACAGACCACTGAAAAAACTCTAACATCTGCAAAGTCCAGGGAGAACTAAGCTGTTCAGAAAGGAGTATTAAGATAACTCACATAGAGAAGAACCTAACTTCTCCCTTCAAAAAAAAGTACTTATTTACCTTTAGAGATAGGGGAAGGGAGGGAGAAGGGGAAAAAAACATCAATGTGTGACAGATACACACGCCCCCACCTGGGAACATGGCCCACACCCCAGGTGTGTGCCCTGGCTGGGAATCAAACCCGTGACCTTTTGGTTCCCAGCCCGACGCTCAATCCATGAGCTACACCAGCCAGGGCCTAAGCTCTCTTGACTCTGAAATTCTAAAACTGGAATGAAAATAGGAGACAGTACTTGTGTTCGGGTGATAAGCCCAATACGGTGTGAAAATAAGAAGGCGGTCTTTAGCTATTACTATATATATAGCAATGAATATATATATTTCATATATATATGAAAACAAGTGTCTATTTCCCTCAACCCAAGCTGCGTGCTGTGTAATGGGTCCACACTTCCTTCACAGACCAAAATCAAAAGCTACCAGAGGAGACTGTGCAGAACACCCCTACACGGACCCCAGCTTACAAAGCCAGGGGGCAGAGGGAGCTGGAATCTGGTAGAAGAGCATCATCTCAGGATTCAGAGCTTAAACACGGCAACACCCTCTCCTTCCAACGAAAAGCTGAGGGGCTGAGGCAGCCAGTTCCAAAGATAACAACAAGTGGTAACTTAACACCCACTCAGCTGCCCTACGACACCCTGACCTTCACCTTCCATGGGCGGAGGCTGCTGCAACCATCTCCAGCACCTGGCACACAACAGGGGCACAACCAGGATCTACCAAGTAAGTGGAAGCATCCCTGGCAGCTGGACGTCTGCCACAAACGGCAGGAAATAGATGTCGGCGGAGTGAATGGGCGACTTCTGCGGTACTCTCGTCCGTACTCTGTGCTCCATTCCAAGGAACTCCTTTTACTCCATGGCCCTTGCGGGTTAGTTAAGTAACCGCTTTTCACAGAATTATAGAATTTTAGAATTCAAAACAATCATAGTATTTCCCAATAAAAAAAATTTTATGTTTTTTTAAAGATATTCTTTTTCCCCACAGCCTAATGTTTCTCAAAATGTAGTCCACCTAGCCCTGGCTAGTGTAGCTCAGTGGATTGAGCATGGGCTCCGAGCCAAAGGGTAGCCAGTTCGATTCCCAGTCAGGGCACATGCCTGAGTTGTGGGCCAGGTTCCCAGTGGGGGCCACGTGAGAGGCAGCCACACACTGATGTTTCTCTCTTTCTTCCTCCCTTCCCCTCTCTCTAAAAAATAAATAAAATATTTAAAAAATGTAGTCCACCTACAACAGAATTAGGTGGAGCGCTCGTTAAAATACAGATTCCTCTGAGTGAACACAGGCTGCCAGACGCGTGTTTAATGACCTCCCCCTCCTAGCCAGTAACGGCTCCCTCCGCAATAACTTCGTAAATAACTACATCATAAAAGCTCGTTTCACTTTTGAATAAACTTCTATTTATTAGTTTGGCCTTACACTCAGAGTTGACCCAATCATGTCTCCCGTGCTTTAGATGAACCCATCTATTCTTAGTTTGACGTTAGCACAAACATCAAACACCCTGCAATCCTTTTCCCCCTGCCTCCTAAGCACGCCCCACAGAGACACGCCCCCTAGAGACACGCCCCCTTACTTGATATGGAAGGTGGGTCGTTGGTGCTGACGTTGAGGAGCTTGGGCCACACTTTCCGCCGGATCTCGTCAGTCAGGAGCCCCCCTTCGCTAATGGCCATGCGCCTAAGGGCAGCCACGTCAGTGGGATCGCTGTTCAGAGCCTGGTATATCTCTGCCACTTTCTTTTTCCTTTTCCCGTTAAAGCCTGCAGAGACAGAGAAACGAAAAATGCGGGCGGGGCGCATTAGGCACACATCCAGCATGTGCACAATTTCTTCAGGGCTCAGTCTCCTAATGTGGTTTGAGGTGTAGGTAGGTATATGTAAAGCCAACCTACAGATACTTAATTAGCATGTAATGTGCAAAACAGGAAAGGAATATATCATGTATGTAACCAGCAAGGAAGTACAATGATAATAAATGCTCAGTAAATGTAGGCACATCTAACAGTTACTGCTGATGTTCTCCTAATAGAATGCCTCTTCTTTCTTAGTATCAAGCTTTAGAGCATATATCTCTCTCATATAATTTTTTTCCTGTGGTTTAGAGAAAAAATGTAAAATGTATACCACCAAAATTCAATACTATATTTTAAAACAAAACCACAAGTGGTTTTGGAACAAGTGGTTCCAGTTACTGGTAAAACATCAGAGTCTTAGAAACACTTTCCAAGTCAGAATGCAACAGGGCGAGCTCGGTCTCGAGCGTGGGCGGTGAGAGGGGCGTGACGTGGCACACAGAGCGAGAGCCGTGCTGATCACTGTGATCAGGAAGTGACGTTTTAAGCATCTCACATCCTTATGTGATCATTTGTTATTTATACACAGGCATTTTACTGTGTTTAAGATACTTTTTTAGGCAATCAGTTGAGAATTTGTGGTTGATATTTATCCTACTATATTTTTTCTATTTAAAATAATGGAGTAACTTAGAGGTTCTTAGTTATTTAGAGTTACTTAGTTACTTAGAGTTACAGGTTCTTAGAGTTTCCATGCAGAATATCTAATTTTAGGAATGGCAAACACGAGGAAAGTTGAACAGGGCCCCATAAAAGAGTCGTCCCAAAGAAATGCACTGCAATTGCCAGAAAAAGGACTGTGCAGACACGGAGAACTCAGGGTGTGTTGTGGGGCAGGCCGGGCAGAGGAGCTGAAAGAGGAAAAGGGCTCCGAGAGGCCACGAAGAGAGAGAGCAGGACAGATGCTGGGACACAGGACACACAAGGCCCTTTCACCTAACAGCGGACGGGCCCGTTAAAAACATGTATGTAGCACAGACTGGGTGGAAGGCACTGGAGGTGTGCACGGTGGACGACATTAGAGGGCAGGCGTTACAGAAGACGAGTATCGAACGGTAGACTAGGGTTAGAAGGGACACGGAGCGGCTTTCCCCAGTAATTTCCTGTTCCGAGGCAATGGTCCACAAACTCTTCCCATGACAAAACTGCATATTATTAACACAAATGAGAGCTGGCACTGATGGTCCCGGTCACCTGCCTACGAGAGCTGTGATGTGTCGGTCAGCTGGTGTGGAGCCACGTGCAATGGGAGGTGCAGACAGGAAAACAACACAGGTGACTTTTACCCTAAGTAAACCTGTTTTCCCGGTTACACTGTTTTTTGCTTGGTAACCTAGTAGAGTGACCGTCTCTTTCGGTTTGTCTGAGAGGCTCCTGGTTCATGCCTGTAATCCTGGCACAGCTGCGCATCGCAAACCCCTCCTTCGACCTGTACTTTTAAAAATGTCCCAGCTTGGATGCTAAATTACATGGTTACTCTATCTAGAAATCATAACAATTAAGTCCCACTTTTCTGTCAGTGCAAATCCTAACTAGTTAAATGTTTGTTTACAAGCTGCGTCAAGCTCTTGGCTTCAGTGTGTCCGTCTGTGTGTCCACCCGTCTGTCCATCCATCTATCCACTTGTCCATTAGTCTACCCACTGAGTTCTCAATCCATCATTTAATGAACATCTACTTGTAGTAAGCACTGTACAGGGGCAAAAAGATTAATTGGAGCTGTGCCTAGTGTGGCTCAGTTGGTTGGGTGCCGTTCCACAAAGTGAAAGGTCACCAGTTCGATTCCTGGTCAGGGCAGTGCCTGGGTTGCTTGGGTCCTGGCATGGGCACCTACAAGAGGCAACCAATTGATGTTTCTTTCCTTCTCTTTCTCCCTCCCTTTCTCTCTCTTAAAAAGAAAAATAAAAAAAAGATTAATGTGACTCCCTCCCAGCCTTGGAGAGGCTCTTAGCTGGGACAGACACAAACAATGATTACATGTGATGCCACAGAATCCTGAAGAATTATGAAACTCCAGACAAAAGAATGACTGCTTCTCATGCAGCTGGGAAAGGCTTCACCAAGAACATGCTCGGGTACCTCCTTAAAGAAAACTCTGCACGTGGAAGAGTGGCTGGAGACAGAGCATTCCAGGGAGATGAAAGAGTGTGCCAGAGACCCTGTCATGGGAGAAAAACATCATGTCCCCCAAACACAGAGGTAATTCTGTGAAGTTGAAGTGTCAGGTAAAGGGAGAGGAGAGAGGACAGAGCTGAAGGCCTGCAGGGAATGGAGCGTTCGGAAGAGTCTGGGCTCCGCTCTACAGTCAAGGAAAGACAGGGAGGGGTGCTCCCTGGGTCACGGGGCCCTACTTTGAAGGGAAGGCTGTGAGTTTTCAAAGAGGGACGGCAGACACACAGGATGCAGAGACTTTTTACGTAACAGACTGAGACAAAATAGGAGCAGGAACTGAATTAATTTCCAATAACAAATATAAAGTGCCAGATAGCCTGTGATGTTTTTTCTGTTTTCTTGTATTTTCTACACATCACAAATTAAGACCACTTACATGGTAATATGAAGACTGCCTGAGGTAAGCTGGTGTTTAGAAACCCTGTTCATCTACCTAAGAGTGTGAAACAATTTCCTCTGTTTCTTTAGCCACATCCACCCTGCCCCTCTGTCCGAGTAAGCTATTTAGCAATCTGGGGGAAAGGAAAAGCGTGGCTTGTCTCTTGGAGAAAGTAACTCTGCTTGCCATCAGCTGGATTTCCATTAGGTTTTGGTACATAATCTGCCAGAGTCTTTCCCAATTCTGAACCCAACCACAGCTCCAGTGCTCAGCTCTCTTAACACTCTGTTCTAACTCTATTTTTAATGCTGCATTTAAAATTCACTACTACCTTCTGGTTTTCAGTGCCCTGTGGGGACACAATAAATATACACAGAATAGAATTAAAAAATGAGCTTAGCTACTGTTCTTTTGGAAACACCAGCCTGTGATAAACGACACCACCTTCCCCACACTGCCGCCATGGTGCAACCCCGAACAGGGTCCGCGCTGCCTAACCGGGGCTGCGTCCTGAGAAGGTGCTGTCGGGCAGTTTCGCTGCTGTGCGAGATCACCGAGTGCACTTTCACAACAAACCTGGCCCACCACGCACCTAGACCCTGAGTATACCACCTTCATATACGTGGTCCATCACTGACCCAAATGCTGTGTGGCACAGGACTACAGATTTGTAGATTTTCTGGCCTTTTTCTGAAGTTCCTGGCACTTCCCACGGTAGAATGCTGCTGGAATGTGAATTTTAGCTCCTGTCTGTTCGGGCCCCAACATCACCTTCATCAATCCCAGTTTCGATGAAGTGTTAATGGCTGAGGAGGAAGGTGCTCCTAACTGTGCCACCCCCACCACAGAAATATTTATTACACTTGATATATAACTCTCACTGTGACATAAAAAGGGAGGAAAAAACAGAAAACTCAAGTGAGCTAGAGATATAGAAATTACAGGGTGGTAAGGTCAACTGCTAGATTATACACAGTGAGGAAGAAAATGTTAGTAAAGTCTCAACTGAAACTGATTTACATGTATCTTCTTCACCTTAGAGAAAAATCAGAGCTATTTCTTGGGTACTCAGGAAAATATTAAAATTCATGCTTCCTACCTATTTTAGGATAAATTTTATAGATGGATTTGGGGTGGGACACGCACTTCCAGGTGTGAGAATGTTCCATCCGGGATTGGAAGAAAAGCCCACGTGTCACCGGGAGGTGGCGTGTCCACCAGCTCAGTCCCCCTGGATCATTTCTTCTCGTTTCCTTTTGCCCCACTTATGAAAGAGATGTATCACATATCCCAAAGTTGACACCTTCCAAATTCTTTGCAGGAAGAGGTCTTGGCTACCGTAACCACGACAAAATGATTATCCTACAGCTGGCTGCAGAACATAAGACATTGCTATAAATAAACCCCTGATGCCTGAAAAGCAATTCATTCAACACAGGCAAAAAATGATAGAGGCACTACTTGGCCAGCTCTCCATTAAAACAATCATTTTAATAAGGGGCACTGAAGCAGCGGTTCTTAACAGTTCGGATACAGATGACTGAGCCTGGTGTGGTCTCAAACCCTTCCCAACCCTGGCTACAGAACCCAGGTGGAGATTTCTGCCTCCTCAGAGAAATGCGTACTTCCAAAAGCACCTGGTTTGGGGAAATATATATACATGACAACAACTGAAGATGAACACTAGCTATGCTTTCTCTAAAAGTTTTCCATATCAGCAAAATCCGTATTAATGACTTACAGTAGGTAAAAGATCTACGTGTGAGTACATTGTAATGGAATCTTCTGCGAAAGTACAGAATTCCATACTTATTCTCTGGTTTAAGCTTGCGTTATCAAGAAAGCTTTGCGGTCTTTAAATAAAAGTCAAACTCAAACTGAGCAGTGCTAGCCTTAATCAAAACAATGGGAGAGGCGTGTGTGTGTGAGAGAGAGAGAGAGAGAGAGAGAGAGAGAGAGAGATCCCCTCAGACAGACACACACCACCCTAGGCTTGAGCCCTGGCCAGGTGGCTCAGTTACTTGGAGTGTGGCTCGGTACACCAAAAGGTCATGGGTTCAATTCCTGGTCAGGGCACATGCCCAGGTTGCAGGTTGGATCCCCAGTCGGAGCACAAAGGAGAAGCAATCAATCAATGTTCCTCTCTCACATCGACCATGCTCTCTGTGCCTCCCTTCCTCTCTCTAAAATCAATAAAACATATCCTCGAGTAAGGACTAAAAATTTTTTTAATGCTTGAATTTAGTTAGTATCTGTACCAGAGAAAGACAGTAGGAGAGTACAGCCTTACCTTTTTCTGAGTAAGATTCCCACTAAAAACAAAGTAAGACAAAGCAGCTTCTGTTTCTGAAGGTCCTGTTTAGTTTCAACTAACTGCACCAGACTGAGCACGGATTCGTTACGTGAAACACACAGACAAGCGCATATTAGGAATGGCGGCTTCACCCTAACAATGCAGAAAAATATTCTAGAAAGTAAACCAATCTGATCATGAACCTTACACAGGAGAACGTCTAGTGTTAGTAACTTTGTTAATTCTCCAAAAATACTCTGATTTCTAAATTACTCCTATTCATCCAGAGAAGGAAAATCAAGGAAACCAGGACGCCAAGTCCGCACAGCTGTGCCACTCCAGGTCACGAGACCCACACCACTGGGGCACTCACTGACTATTAGGCCACGAAGAAAGAGGTCATACAAACATCAGCAAAGGGTCACAAAGCCAAAGGGCCAGAGGAAGTAGTATGCGTGAGCTCCACTTCCACCCAGGACTAGAACAGGAGGGGGGGATAACAGAAAATGAGCACAGAGAAACATATGGACATCCGCTGCTTCATCAAAATATGTGGGTTGAACATGTCGACTGGTTCTACAACATCATGGACACTGCGGATTAGAGGATGGAAGAGTGGGAGAGCTGCTACAGTCTTCTCAGAGGGGGCAGAGATGATTTTACTCAGTACAGAGTAAACGTTAATAATTTTAACTGTCAGGTCTTACATGTAAAACATATGTGAAAACAGCACACAACAAAACCATACTTTCATAGAGGTAATTGTATGGAACAATCATTAAACGATATAAAAATAGAAAATTACTTTTTTGCACAATTAAATAACATTAAAGTAGGTGGAACAGGATTGAGACATAAAGTAGATTAGAGTCTGCCAAGAACTGTGGACATTGGGCAGTGTGGAGGAATGGGCTTTCTTTTTGGAATATTGATGTTCTGAAATTAGACAGGGCTGCTGATTGCACAGCCCTGTGAAAGTACTAAGAACCACTGAACCGCACACTTTTAAAGGGCTGGATTTTATGGTAATTATTCAAAGAAATTGGTGGTCACGCACACCACGCAAATCAAGCCGGCGACAGATGAATGAAGTTTGGGAACCTGCCTTACAACTAGGGAGGCGGCACCAGGAGTCTGCGGACATGGTCGGACAGTCTCAGAACGGAGGTGAAGCCTGGCCTCAGTTCTCAGAGACCAGATTCTCCCTTTCGGACGCGACGAGGAAAGGAGCAGCGTCCCCGCCCCTTCCTTCCCACTGGGGACGTGGTTCTGCCACCACGGTTTCCCTGGTCTCATCAGCGTCCGTGGATCTCCCGCTTCTAGGCTCTGTTCCTCTTCAGCCTGTTCCTCTCCCGCCGTCCTGACTCCTGCCTGCAGCCCTGGGCGCACCCTACCCGACCCGTCGGGAGCCCCCTGCGCCGGGGCCCGCTCCTCCGACAGCTGCCCCGGCCCAGGGTCGCCCCTGTGGCTCAGGCCGCCCTCGTAGGCCACTCCTTGACGCCCCGGCCGGATTCCGTACCTGCCGTCTCCGCGCCTCTGTCCCTGAGACTGGAGGTGGGGCTGTCGCCCTGCGCACTCCGGGAGGTCATGTCCCGGGGGCCCGGGCCCGGGCCCGAGCCCCGGCTGGTGGTGAAGCCGAGATGAGCCGCGGCCGCGGGCGCGTCAGCCAGAGCCCGTACCGCCCCGCAGGATCGGCTCGGCAGCCAGCTGCGCGCAGGCGCGTAGGCATCTTCGCCACGCCGGCACGTGACCTTCGCTACGCTGGAGCAGGCGGGGCTCCCTAAACCGGAGACAGGGAACCAAGAAAGAAATGAGAGAAGGGAGGGAGGAAGAGAGGGAAAGAAACATCAGTGCGTGGTTGCCTCTCATGCGCCCCCTACTGGGCACTTGGCCCGCAACCCAGGCATGTGCCCTGATGGGGAATCGAGGTGAGGACCCTTTGGTTCACAGGCCAGCAGCACTCAATCCAGTGAGCCACACCAGCCAGGGTGAGCCAGAACGAGTGTGTTCTGGACCAGATTTTTGTCACTTCTTATTTATAACTTACCACTTTTCTTATTTGTAAAGGATGCTGATTAATAAATAATGTAAGTTCTGAAGTCAGAGTTATTGGGAAAGTGCTTAGAATACTATTAAACAATTAAAGCTAGGGTTTTGCTTACCAAGGATTTTACCTCCTGCCTCACCTCCCCACTCGTACCTCTGTCATACTTAGCTACTTTAGGGTTTTCCCAGAACCATTGTGTGTGGTTCTGCAGGTTCACTGCACAACGCCAGGAGGCGCCGTTCACACGTGTGATTATGGGATCAGTGCCCCTTTGAGTTATACAAAACTGGCCAACTGGCCACTCATTCAAAATGAGCATCTGTCTTACCAGGTTTTTGACTACCTTCTTGTGTCTAATGACACTCCTTTCTCTCCAGTTGGCCATCCATTTTTCCAGTCACACCCTTATTGTGGCCAGACAATACCCCCTCAGGCTCCCTTGATTCCAGTTGCTGGATGAGCCCTACCAAAACAGTTCTTTATTCTCTCAGACCCCCAGCCCACCTGGCTGCTAGTGGCACCTCTTGGTTTCCTGCCCATCCTGTTCAATCCGAATTCCTTGGCCTATCTACCATTAGAAGGTAAGTCCTTTCTAAAAGGTCCTCTGGGTAGCTTTCAGGAGCAGAAAAGATTACTTTGAGGTTAATTTGATTTTTAAAACTAATACTCAATTTATTAAAATTAGAAATCCCTAATAGAGTTTTCTTAATTTCAGCGGGCAAATTTTACAATTCCATTCATAAATCTAGTAAATTTTAACAACCATTTCTTTGATCCCATCAATAAACTTGGTTAATTAAAAGTTTCACTGAAGACTTGAAATTGTACTTATAAGCTTAATAATTCACTTTCCTCTTTTCAATATCATAATTTTCTAACAATGCCTTTTCCATCCTTATGGAATTCTTATAAACAAGATAAATTAAACTTATAAATATGTTGAGTCATGAGTTCTTTTAAATATGTCAATACAAATTTAAAAAGCCTTCAACTTAAAACCAAAAGTCACATCTATTATCCAAATACACATCTGTAATCAGTACCATAAGGATCTGTTAGAATCCCCAAAATTATCTTAAATATTATAAGAATGTCAAGCATTACATTTACATAGATTGCTTGATGCAAAAACAGTAGCGCCGGTGAGTTTAAAACACTTCTAGTCCTTATTCTCAACATAGTTGAGGTTAAAGGATGCTCCTTGCTCTGAAGGGTTGTCATCTCAGTTTGGAAGTAATTGACTGGAGCAGTTCGGGGTCTTTACTCCCTCGTTACTGATTACTGTGCCGGTAGGTGGATTCTTGCCTGAGGCACTGATGGAACAGGGACCTGCTCCCCTCCCCGCCATCACAGCTCCAGGGCTAAACCCTGGGTTGTTATTGTGAGATTGGGCCATTGCTCATCCTCTGTAAGAGGACAAAGTGGCTGGCTCTCAGGGAAAAGAGAGAGGGTCAGGCTACTACTGCCAAATGCTCAGCAAGATGAACAAGGCGTTGCATGGAGAAAACCAGTTCCTGTCTCAGGCTGATACCCCACCTTCTCGGCAATACATTGATTCCCTGCAGTTCATCTCAGGAGCTCTTGTCCGCATGATCAGGAATGTGTCTTTTTGCCTCATAATTCCTCATGCCCACTGTCTTTGAAAGGAACTCTAGGTGGCAGAAGAGAATTTTTCAAAAGCCTTCCTAGGTCAATAGAAACGAGTCTAGGATTCAAGCCTTATGATGGTCATGCCCTTCCCCTGTTGCTTGAGTTTGGAGCCTGTAGTTGAGCCACAGCCTGCTGGGCTGGTCTGCCAGGGGGCCCAGGACACCAAGAAGTGTAAGTATCTTGGGACACCCCCAAACACAGACATGTATATTACTGAGCTCATTGGTTTGCTCAACAAATCTTCATGGACCTTCACCGGGCCAGTGCCAGGACCCAACATAACAAAGCTTTATTTTCTGTTCTCAGGTTGGTAGAGAGATGGACTCTTCAACTTACAAGAGACAACAAGTCCTAGAAAAGGGGAAGGAAACTTGAAGGGTTGTAGAAGCCCAACACACACACAGAAGTAGGAGGGTGATGAAGAAAAACTTCCTGGGGTAGGGATTTCTAAACTTATATAGAGAGATGAGTAGCATAAGTCCGTTGGTATAGGGAAGAGCATTGTAGGCCGAGAAAACAGCACAGGCTAGGAGAAGGCAAATCAGTCTAGAAACTGAGTATTTTAGTGTTCTTTCAGCAGAGAGTGAAAAAGTGGACTTTGACACTGGTGAGTGCAGAGGCAGGTCAGGAGTTTGGGCTGGATGGGGTCAGCAGAGTGGAATTAAAGAATTTAGCATTGAACGTGGCCTTTGATGTCGTCCAGATTAATCCTCATTTCCAGTATAAGCATCGCCTCTACTGAGCCACACAAAAAATGTTTGTGGCACACTGAACCCGTGCCCAGCTGTGAGCTGGGATGTAGTGACAGATGTTGAACCGCTCCGTTTCTAAGGGAGGAGACAAGGAAGGCCAAGTGAACCGTGACATAGGGGGCAACCGGAAAGTCTGAAAGAACATGGAAAATCCCAGAAACCAAGAGATTCGGGGGCATCAGTTAAGTCCCTGTGGTAGGTGGAATTCTAAGATGGTCCCCAAGATTCCCACTCCATAGTGTAGAAGCCTGCATAATCCTGTCTCCATGACAGGATCTTATGACTAGGTGATATTAAAGGTAAACATGAAGGAATCCTGCAGATGTAATGAAGGTCCCCAGTCAGCTGACTTTGCAGTCAAAAGGGAGCTTGATGTGGGTAGACCTCATCAGGCGAGTCCTTTAAAAGAAGGTGCGGCCTGCCCTGGCTGGTGTGGCTCAGTGGATTGAGTGCCGGAATGTAAACTAAAGGGTTGCCAGTTCTATTCCCAGTCAGGGCACATGCCTGGCCAGGTCCCCAGTAGGGGGCGCTCCAGAGGCAACCACACGTTGACTCTCCTGTTTCTCTCTACAGAGAAGGCATGGGCCTCCTCTGTAGGAGACATCTATAGCAGCGTTCTCCTGTGGACCTTCAAGAAGTGGACTTCCACGTGGAGAAGGCCACACGGCAGGGAACAGTGGCGGTCCCTGGGAGTGGAGGGTCTCAGTCCTACAGCAAAAGAAGCCGAATTCGGCCGGTAGTAAGCTTGGGAGAGGGCATGGAGCCTCAGTCGAGATGACCACCTTGGCTGACAACTTGACTTTAGCCTGGTGAGGCCCTGAGTAAAGAAGGTGGCTACCCACACTTGGGTACCTGCACCGCAAAAACTGAAATGATTACATTTGCGGTATGTTGTCACACAGCGAGTGACTGACAGTCTCACCCCACAGACATCTCCGGCAAAGGTTTACTGGTGCACATAACTGAAGTTCTTGCTCTCCCGCGTGCCCCGTCTCCATCTCTCAGCTGCCCACCTCTTCATGTTGACTGAACTACAACCCCACAGAGGCCTTGGGGGCATAACGAGACCCTGATAGCTAAGGTGGTGCCGTACTTCCTGCATCTGACTGTGAAATACCTTGAACTCTTCGACCCAGCATTTCCGAGGGAAGTATTGACATGTCACTGGCTGACTTGGTCACCGGCCTAGGCCTGAACCAGTCACAGCAGCGGTCCTGTGCGGATGGGTTAGGCTTGAGTCTGATCCACCCCCCCCAACTGAGCAGGGGTGGAGCAATGGCCAACGCCCTGGGGCTGAGAGCGGGAAGGAAAGACGTCGGTTTCAACGATGGCCCTCACATTTACAACTCACATGTTTAATTAATCAGTTTGCCTTCAGATACCCTGCTCCGGTGCAGTAAGTCTGAAGACCTTACAACCGTAGATTCTCATTTCCTTCCTTCTATTCATCATGCTCTCGTCATACTTTTATTTCCTTCTTAAATCCCTTCTTGTCCCCATCGCCTCCCGCTGCCCACCCGCCACAAGCTTGCAGACAACCACTTTACATTGTGTGGCTATCGTTTGCACGTTCCACAATTTTATAGGGACGGAACCATACAGTATGCCGTCTTCTGGGTCTGGCTTTCCGTCGGCAAAATCGTTTTAAGACTAAGTCATCTTATTGCATGTATCGAATTTATTTAAGTTCTTTTCTTTTAATCCTCATGCAAGGATATGTTTACTAATTTTAGAGAGAGGACGGGAGAAATAAAAATGCTGATGTGAGAAATGTTGATCGAGGGCCTCTCACATATGCCGACTGGGTTTGACACCCGGAACCTAGGTGTGTGTCCTGACGGGGAATCGAACGTACAACCTTTTGGATAATCCAGCCAGGGTTCTTTCTTTTTATTGCCCAGTATTTTATCATAGTTATACCATTCATGTATCTGTATTCTATAAATACACAATTCATTGCTCACATTTTTGCTTTACGCCTGCGGTTAGCAGAAGATGACCCATTTGCTAGCGAAAACCAGCCCAATACTTGATTTTATATGGTCTTTTACCATTTTAAATTATCCTGGGGAAAAAAATCAAAAAATTAGTGGCACATGAAAGTGACATGAAATTTAAATGTGAAATAGAACAAAGTTTTATGGAAACACGGCCACGCTCATTTGCCCGTCGTCGTCAAAGGCCGCTCTCACGCTACAGCAATGGGGTCGTGGCAGAAATCATGACCCGCAAAACCCAGAACATTTGCTCCTTTACAGAAAGTCTGCTGACC